ACAAAATCCTTGTTGTCCCTGCGTCGCCCTGCTTAAGAAAAGTTAAGAATTGCTTGATGTCCCTTGCCTGTTTCTTTTTTTCCGGTATATTTGTTCATTCTTGGCGGTCAGGAAAGAATGGCGGCAGATCCGATTGCCCTGGTCCGACAACTGGGAAGAGTCCGTCTCTGGACACCTCCGAAAGCTGGGCATCTCCTCGGCCCGGCGCAGAGATGCGAAACGCCTTTGGTTCTTTTGGAACATGGATTAGCTATAACCGGTGCTTTGTCCAGTCCAAATGCGTCATAAACTTCGAAGGCTTCAGCCCGGTCGAAGCGAGAGGGTTTGCTTCTTCTCCGAGGCGACGGAGGGCGAGCGCTTCGAGGTCTTGAACTGCAAGGGCGTTCCCTTCTCCTTGCGGGAGCGGTTTTTCCGTGTCGGTGTCCGGCGTCGGTCTTCCGCGCGGCGAAGACCGTGCGTGCGTGCTTCAGTGGGCGGCACTGGGGCGATGTGAAAATGCGATGGATGTCTGACACACACGGTTAGTGATAGTCTCTAAGTGATGACTGGTTTGGGGATGACTTCAGGTGCTTTTCGTGACTTTTCAAGTGAGGTTGCACTTGGTGCGAAAAACAGCTAACACCAAAAGTGAAAGACACCGTAGTGACTGAATGCTTTATAATGGTTTCACATGACGACGGCTTCATCAGCAAGGCTTTTTCAAGCAGCCTTGCACAATACGTTTCATCAGCCGGCAACTGGTCGCAGGACAACCGTTTACAAGCAGCGTCTGGTCGCCGACTTCTTGTGCCATCTGACTTTCCCATGCTTTTGAACATCAAGGTGTGGACCGTGGAAGCACGTTGATGTTTTTGCCCACGAGTCACTCACCTGTTACATCATGTTACATCATGATCCATCCACTTGTCTGGAGTGGTCACCATTTCTTGGCGGCGACTTTTTTACATTTGGGTTTGACAGAACTTGCTGCAACCAAACATGTCGTCCTTGTTAAAACCACCTCGTTCTCCGCTCCAAAAAGCACCCTGCTCGTGGCTGGAGAGAACTGTTCGTCACACACTCGGCCGCCAGTTGTGGACCGTCACAGAGCTTCAACGTCGCCTGCGGCAACCGGACAAGGACCTGCGTCAGGCGCAGGCGCACGGGTATGACGCGCCAAACTGGAACGGCGAGACGGCGCCATCGCGGTGGTCACCGCGGGAGTCGAGTGGACCATTGGGGGTAGAAACACCATTGACACATATAATAGTGCCTGCGCCCCCCCCAAAAAAACAGACAAACATGCCGAACACCCCTAGTGGCCCACAGGAGCAAGTGCAAATCCGCTCCACCTTGCGGAAGTCCAAACAGGGTTTCCTCATGCCCTGATTCTTGGGGAGCCTTTGTTCTATCTCTCCGAAAATGACTGGGCTTCCCAGTACTCTCGAAAGCCACGACATGTCCCTCTCCCGTCCGATCAGCTGGTCAGTGGACCTAGCTGAGACAGCTGAGCATGTTGTGAGTGTTCAAAATGGACCCAGGCAGTCATACAGAAGCAGATCGAACAGCTGAAGCGTGGACGACCAGGTGTCTCAGACCTGGACCTGATTTCTCGTGACAGCTGTGACAGCTATGAGGCTTTCGTATTGAAAAGTGTTGGATCCCATTCAGATCCCTTCAGATCCCTTCATGGGTGACAGCATCCCAGCCATGTGTCTCGTGGAAGCCACCACATCTATCTTGAGATGGGGTGTTACCACATCATCCTCGTTTGTTCACCTTGCCTTTCTGAGGCAAGTTGATGGAGGCCCACGAGCGGCAAAAGTTAGATCGGCTGCGTGAAGAAGAGGCCGAGCTGAAGGCACCCGCTCCGTCCAGTCGGAAGAGCCGGAGCTGAGCGGGCGGCCTGAGTCACAAGCCACTGGTAAAGAAAAGGGTTTTGCAAGTTTGGATGTGGTGTTAGATAGGGTTTGGATGCAAGAAATGAGGTTTAGGGTGTGCTTTTTGGCCAAGGCAACTCTTTCTTTTATTTAGTAAGAGGTGCTTCTTGCAATGTGTCGAGCGCAAACAAGTTGCGTCTTGCTTGTGACACCAAATTTAGATCAATCTTGGTGAAATACACGTGTGTGAAAAACGAAAGAGAAGACCTGGAAGACTGAAATCAAATCAACTACCCGCACGCGGTGACATGCACAAGGATGTTGATTCGTTGATTCTCGTTGCCTCCAGGTTCAATTTCAAGACAGTCGCACTGAAGTGCAAGCGCTTCTTCGAAATCGGGCTGTGGTGATGCTCCAGGCTGGGCGAGGTTAGAGAGGTGGGAGAGGCGCAGAACAGATTCCCTAACGTTCTTCCTCTGACGGTTTCTTTTTCCTAAGGTGTTTTAAGCATGCAACTTCAGCATGTTTTTCAGTACATAGATTCTTAGATGCCACATGATGCCAGTAATGCAATGCCGGAAGAGTAGCATCATGTGCCGTATGCAAGTAATGCAATGCTAGATCAGCAGCATCATGTGTAGTTGATCCACGTTGATCCGAGGTTTCTGTACAAGCTATTCAAAGGAATTTGTTTGAGCACCTTTTCGCTTTGAGATGACCTGGCGACCGCCTCGGACCATCGGCCCAGGCCATCGTGCGTGGCTGTCGAAGCCGAAAGGCGCAGATGACACGGCGCCAGGCGGCGAAGGTGCGTCGGCGCGTCGCGGGGGAGAGTTTGGTGGTCCACCCCTCCAGGCTGAGAAAGGTTGTTGGGAAGTTGTTGCTTATATAACACCTTCTTTCATGATTCCATTGAGAGATCAAACGTTTTCCCAATCTGGGAGGTTGATGTTCTCTTCGACAACAGTTTGGCGTTTGGTTTCTTTGGTTCAGGTGCAGTTGTTCTGCTTTTGTTCTATCTGCTTCTTGTTTCCAAGAACATTTGGGAAGATCAAGAGCAAAGGACAGGACAGAGTCGCTCTGTGAGCCACACGTTTTCGTTTTCGCGGATTCTCTTGCTCAATTCCTTGCTAAAACGGCCATTGAGTTTACCGGGCAGTTGTAGGTGATCCAGCGTGGGTGGCGAGGCGTGGTTTCCCGGGCATGGAGCCATTTGCTGGCGGGGAGAAGGGCTCCTGGACAAGGGGAGCGAGTCAAGACTCGGCAGTGTACTTCCCAGTCGTTTGATGCTTATGCAACAATTGGATTACTCACCCCGTTTGTTTCTGAGATTTAAGACATTTGATATTAGTATATATACATATATAGACACGTCAACTTGAGAGCATATGTCTTGCACTTCAGGAAAAACATATGATATGTCTGCACTTTAGGATAAAAAGAAAAAGTATATTTCTATAGAGAGAACATGCTCTTGTGAACTCCAGAATTGAAGCGGCTTACCGATCGATTTGGGTCGAATTTTGACTGGGTATCGCCAGGCTACCTGAGCCGATTGCGAGTGGAGCACATGAAGGTGTTGGCGCGACAGCGCATCAAGCAAGTGAAGCACGTGCGGAACCCGAACGGCCAGTGTATCCAGAGAAGAGAACGTGGGGGAAGAGAAGGGAAGCAACGGGACGGAGGAGACGTTCTTTTGTGAAAGAGTACAACTTTACAGGTAAGGAGGGTTTGCATCGGCTGGACGTTTAGGTAGACTATGGTTTTTGTATTGAATATCTATGAATATCTTTGAATCATCAAGCGATGTCAAGCCCAAACATCAGCAGCTCACCATTTAGATCCTATTAGATGTCTCAAAAAGCGATCTAAGATGCATGTTTCTCACGCCATGTCACAGGTTCCTCCCCCTTCCCCATCCGGAGACCACCACCGCTTCCGACCCCTTGGCGACCCACCGTGGGGGCACCGGTCGGAGTCGCCACGAGGTGCGCAACGCGGAGTCGCTCTTCGAAGCGGTGCACGCCCAAGAGGAGCGCGGAACGGCGGGTCGAGAGACCCGATCGATCGAGAGCCCTGGGATGGGCGGCCTGGGATGGGTGGGGTGGTTGAGACCGGTGTGTAAAGACCAGCGAAAAGAGGATGGGTGGACGATGGGGAGGATGGATGTTTAAGGTGGACAAATGTGGAAGATGGGACCCCACATGATTCAAGGAAACGAAAGAAAGAGACATGCCATGCCGACCCTCCGGCCGACCCTCCGGCCGACCCTGGGCTCAAGTCTGGGCGGTCATTCGAAGCACAGCACTGGACATTCGATTCATGGGGGTTGGAGCGTCCAGGAAGTGGGACTTGCAGGTCCAATGCCTTACAAATGCCGCCACTTTGCCTGTGAACGCTAGCATGACCTGTGAGGAGTTGCGGCAAGCGATTCAAGAACATCTGGGAATCGATCCCGCATATCAGGTGTGGCACGCCGATGGAAAGCGTTTGAAATTGTACAATTCTCAACGCCTGGAGGATTTAGCAGGGACCTCCCTGATGACCGTACTTCGCTGTGAACCACCCCTCAAGCCTCTACCCAAGCGGTTTGCTCTTTGCTTCACGTCAACCAGGGATCGACTTTTTCGGACCCTTTATTCCAGTGGATTTGTCATCCAGTACCGGCTTCAAGCCGATTTGACGCAGGGCAAGCTGGTCTTTGAGCGGTGGAGGAAGAATGATCACGATGTCGTAACTTTCGACTCCAAGAAGAAGGAAGTGAAGACGGAAGAAGGTCATTCCTACTTTGGCTCCACCTTCACCAAAAAACGCATGAAGGTGGATGCTTTGGTAGAGTTCATCTCCCATTGGCATGGCCATTACTTGGAGCCTGAGCAAGCTCATTTCTGGAAATCTCCTTCAGAAGGTATCATAGAAACGCAGCTCGATGAGGATGTCCGCTATTTGGCCATTGACAGTGACACACCGCGGGCACTTCCCGACTATGAAGCCGTTCCTGGCTGGTTTGTGGCACCAGATGAAGATTGCCAGGAGATTGAGATGGACCTGGAAATTGCTGGGACACATCTTGTGCGAATGTTGGTGAAGAATGGTGACCCCTTACGTGTCGCCCTGTCGCAAGGGAAGACCGCGGAAGACTTCTATTTGGGCCTTGAGGAATATGAGATTCAACTCCAAGAACTCGCATCCGATCAAAGTCTTGAGAGCGATCACTGGCCATGAGGCCACTTGTGCAGCAGTGGCAGAACCCGCTTTCGGTGAATAGCATAGCCCACAGCGGCCTTCTCGCTAGGCCGAGGCGAGGCGATGGCATGGCCACATCTTACAGTGAAACATGGTGCGTCCAGGTTCGATGTACAGTGAAACATGGCGCAGATGTGGAACAAGATTGACACCAGGCCGCAGGGCCCAAAAGAGCGGGCTTCATATACCGTCTCAACACGTCCCCGGCTCACGTCCTTTGCGCCTCCAAAGTAAGCTTCCTATCCTGCCCAGCAACAAGGATCACCATTTGGATCCATTTGGTAACGTTTAGACCTCATTTGGTCAAGTTTACAGCCAGGTGCTGAGAGACTCCTCCCTTCCCAACCGCTTCGTTGTTTTCGTCCTCACAACGAAGCGTCCCCCAGGTCTCAGTAGCGAGCCCGACCTCGGGCTCGTGGCTCGCGGCGTCGCGCAGGAGGCGATCGCCATCCGGGTGGTCCGAGACAAGGACTTCAATCCCTTCGTCTTTCGCCACGCGGCGCCTCGGCCGTGCGGTGTGTCTGGGGTCCGTAGAAGTGGGCGCCAAAGAGCACCGGAGGTGTCTGAACCCGAAATGAGGAATCGGGAAATGTTCGGTCAATGAGAGAATGATGATGGTCTTGATTCGAAGCCGAATGAAGATACTGTAGGTCTTGTGTTCGGTCAGTGGCCATGACTTCCAGTCCAGGTCTCGCAGCAATCCCTGCTGCATGCGGCTGCCCAAGAGGGGCTCCACTCCTTGTGCCACGAGCTGCTCGCGGCAGCCAAGCTTCGAGGTGGGGAAGAAAGTCATGTTTCCCTAACGCCAATGCAAGCGCTCATGGAACACAGCACCGGTGGTGCTTGTTTGTTATTGTTGCTATGGTGATGTGGAATCGGATTGGTGACCAGGTGGCTTTATTAGTTGGTGTCAAAACTGTTGAAGAGTGTTTCAGCCCCAGAGCGTATTGTGCACCAGGTGTATGGACATGCAAGCGCACAGTTCATACACGTTAGTAGAGATGCCCCTCCACCGAACAGACAACTTCTAGAAAGAAAACATGTGCTCTGCTTGGGTCTCCGTCTCTCCTTTTTTTGGGATCCAGCCTCTCTCTCTGACGGCGGAGGTATGGACAGCTTCATCACCGCGCGCGATTGGCGGGGATGGACAGCGCTGCACACCGCAGCCTTGAGTGCACAGGCGGCGGAAGCGCTGCGCTTCTGGACCGTCGGATGGTCGGATGGTGGTCACGTGACCAGCGGTGAGGTAGGCGTTCATCGAATCCTCTCTCTTATTGGCGTTATATCGGATCAATTATAAGGACTGGGAGTCCCATACATCATGAAGCCTTAATACCCTTTTGGACGAATACATGCACTTGCTTGTTGCACTACGAACCCAGACATACATACATACCTATAGTTTCTAGGTATGTATGTTTCCGGAGAC